TCAAGGGTCAAAAAAATAATAAAAAAAATTAGTGTTGTGAATTCATTATAGTTGGAAGTTGATTAAAAAAAAAAAAAAAAAAATTTGTTTAGTTATAAATGATATTGATTAACATTTTGATAACGTATTGAATGACGACGACGACGACGACGTGTCAAAAATTAAAGTCATTCAGTCGCCGTTGTAAGCAAACAAAGCTTCCGTCGTCTGAATAGACGGTAAATAATCGTCATCAGTATTGATAAGTATTGAAGCAGCATGAACAGATATCGGGCCATGACCTATGTGCTCGTTGTGAGCAACATTATAATGTTAGTGGCCATGTTTATTGCCGCTTTCTGGGGATTTACTTATCCTAAAATTGTTGTCGATGGCTATGAATCGGGCAAATCAGCATTTGTCGCCGCATTCATGTGCTGTTTGGCTGGTATCTGTCTTTGTGGTCTCAATTTTCAAAATTACTACCTCCTGGTTACGTATGCTATATTACATTTGCTTATAATGCTCAATCAATTGTTCAGCTTGTTACCATTTACTTGGACACGAATTCCTAATTATCCGCTCACCGGTAATGTTTCAACACAAGTTTATGTTATGTTGGTACCCAAAATCTTTCTTGTTGCGTTTGCGTTTGCATTAGCCTACAAATTGCGACGAGATGAAAAACGATACGAACTAGCACGCACCGGTGGCCTACATCAACGTTTACCATGTCATATTGTACCCAGACCAGAGCCGGGTAGCTGTCAATCAGCACCGCTCAATACCGGTTCAATGTATCATGTAGCCAACAATGGACGTACATCAGGTTATGGAACAAATGAACGTGGAGCTCCGCCAACAGTGAATACGAGCAATCATTTAACAATCAGTCAACAACCGCCTTCGTTACCGGCCCATTTAAGTTCACATCCTCTACGAATGATACCGGGGACCGGTGGTCCACCGCCAGGACCACTTGGCCAAGCATCAGCCGTATCGGCGCCAGCCATACCCCCACAGCCACCTCTGTTGCCCATATCGACATCAACGTCGACAAATCAAATTATACATACACCTCCAATTTATCCATTACATCGGCCAAGTGTCACCGATGTATCATCAATAAATTCACCAAATCGTCCGAACGTCATGTCAGCATCATGTCATCGACCAATACCAGTGCCAGCAAACCAATGTCCGTCCCGTATCGGTAATCACAGTACAAGCTGTGGTGGCCTAAATGATATATCCACAATGATACATGATGAACAACAACAACAATCACATCTTGATCAATTAAGCCGAACACCCGCAAGGTCGTCAGGAGTCCATTGGCGACCATCATCATCGGCATATCATCATCAAAGTGCTATTACAGCACAACAACAACAACAACAACAGCAACAACAGCCACAACAATCACAACAACAACAACCACCACAATCATCAATGACGCCTACTAAACAATGGTGGACAAACACTAGTGCCAAACAACAACAACAATACAGTTCTTATTATCGTGACGTTTACAATCCTAATTTCTGACCAAATAAACATCCATATATAATTGGAGCTCTTGGATTTTTTCTTTTTTTTCTTTTTTTAAAGACAATCAAATACCCATATTTCCACATACATACACAAACACACATACCAAAATTATGGATATTATTAAACAATTTCAATAGTGATTACCAAACAAACAAACAAACAAACAGAAAAATAGCGAACTTATCATCATCAACATCATCATCATCATCATCAACATCATTATTATTGCCATTATCATTATCATCATTAATTTTTTTTCTTTTTTTTCTGGTTTTTAATTGTTTCAAAATGATACATTTTTAAAAAAAAATAATTAATATAGAAATCCGGTAATGATTTTAGTGAAAAATAAGTAGAACGACAACAACAACAACAAAAAAGACAAATATTGATAAATGACATTGTCATATTGAAATTCATTATTATCATCATTATCATTCGCATCATCATCATTATTATTATTATAGACCGACGAAGACAACTAAGACCACCACAATCATCAATTTCAATTCGATATCAAAACGTTTTTTTTGTTTTGTTTTTGCCGTTTGTCCTGTTGCATTTTTCTTGTTATTTTTCTACAATATAATTTCTTTTTTTCCATTATTGCTTGAAGCAACGATTACACATAATTTTTTTTTTTGGTTGCGTTGAAGTAATATGCCAAACATCCATTATCATCAACATCAAACATCGATATCATTATGAGAATCATTATTCTTGAGGCAACAAAACAAAAAAAAAAGGAAGAAAAAACAGGAAAAATTCGCATCACTCATATTAATATAATATCTTATGCATTCCGCGATGTATCATATGGCCAGAATAGCGATGATGATGATGATGATGACAACCAAAGAAGAATCTATAAATAAGATTAAGATAAAATTGAGATTGATATATTTTTTTCTTTTCTTTTTATGAGAGCTCAAATTTATCTAAAATTTAAACGCACAATACAGAATCGATTATATTGAAAAACTGAGGGAAACAAAAATGATGATTTTCATCAATAAATTATGAAAGAAATTCCAAAAAAAAAAAGAATTTTTCTCCATTCCATTATTAATTAACAAATAACAACATTAACAACATTGTGAATATGATAAAAATATATTTGAAAACAACAAAAAAAAAACACGAACAATTTCATTTTTATTTTGTATATTTAGTCGTAAAAAATCATACAAAAAAAAAACACACACACAAACAATTTATTGAAAGAAAACAAAGTTACAAAGTCAAATACAAACAATCAATCAATTTTATTTATCTAAATTATGAATCTAAATATGAATGAATAGATAATAGGATATAGTAAATATATATTGTGAGCAAAGAGATAAAGAGAACGAATGAAAGTAAAAACAAATGAACAAAATCTATCAAAAACAATTGTTGTTTCTAATTGATTAATTTAGAATTTTGATTATAATGATGATGAATATCTTCAGATCTTTTTTCTTTTGATCAGAATAAATAACAAACGATAACAACAATCAATTGTCCATATTGACCACACCCGTGCATCATACAAATGATAATCTTGTATTATGGTTTTTGGAAATTTGGTTGGTTGGTTGGTTGGTTTTTCAAAAAATGAGAAAATTCTAATTGTTGTTGTTATTGTTGTTATTGTTTTTCTTTTCTCTTATCATTTTCGGTTCAATCATGATATTCTTGGATCATGTATTTTAGGATCTATTTCTTCATAAATCACATTCAATCTTTCAATTTCTCACTATTCTCGCCATTATCATAATTATTATTCTTCTTTTTCTTCTTTCTTACTATTGATCATTGTATACAGAAGAAGAAAAAGAAAGATAGAGAGAAAGAGAAAGCGAAAAAAAATAACGATGATGATATAAAATTCTTAATAAAAATCAATTATTATTATTATTATATAATCATCGCTCACACACATACAAGCATCTTCATCACATCATCATCATCATCAATTAAAAAAAACAAAATTATTGTGAATATTTTTTTTTCTTTCTTCTGTTTCGTATTTCTCAGTATTGTATCGTTGTTACCAAATCAAACAAAAACAAACAAAACAAAAAAAAAGCAAAAAAAAAAAAAAGAATCTTTTTATTTCAATTTCTTTATTCTCCTGTCTTTATATAATAAAAAAACTATATATAGAAATGTTTTTGTTGTTGTTGTTGTTATTGATAAAGATATACACAAAAAAAAAATACAATAACAACAACAACAACATCAAAAAACGTAAACAAAACAATTTAAAGGATAAAACAGCCACAACAATAACAACAACAACAACAACAACAACAAATAAAACTCTTCAGAAACAATTATTAATGTTATATATTAAAATTTAATTAATAATGATTGATATTTATAAATAATAATAATAATAATAATGATAACGGATAATAAAACTGAAACAAAATAAAACAAAACAAAACAAAACAAAAAAAATTACAAATACAAATTGTCAATTTGATTATGTTGTGATGTTTATTATTATTATTATTATTATAATTATCATTAAACCAAATGGAATCAAACTGATTAATTACAATAATTAAAAAAAAATTCTAGATTTAATAATGGATTTTATTTTATTTTATTTTTGAATTATTCTGGATATAAAAATTCTTCTTCTTATTAACGTAGCCAAACGGGTAAATCATGATTTTTAATCATTAAAAATGAATCTACAATCATACCATCCTTATGATGATTATATAAAATACAAAAAAAATGAACAAAATTATGAATGATAATAATAATAATAATGAATAAATACCAGATCATCAGATATTTGTTGAATATAAAGATGTGTACGATTAATAATTGTTAATTTTGTATAACCATAATCGACAATACGTTTAGCACTCCATGGTAATGGTAATCGAAATGGATCTAAACGTTCTTTACAACCTGCCGATCCAGTTATTAAATGTACCGGTGCTTTTGCATTATCATATGGATTATTTGGATCAACAGTACCATTTTGTACGGTAGCATTATAAACAGGCCACATACGTTCATAGCTATGTTCATGTGCCCAAATTTCCATATCAACACCATATTTATAAAATAAATCTTCCAATCCTAAACCAACATATGGCCATCCTTTTCGAATCTATTTTCAATAATTTTTTTTTCAATGAAAAGAAAGAAAAAAAAGGAATTTTGTTTAATCACGAAGAAAAACAACATTAAAAACATTACATACGATTGATTCGAATCGAGTACAATCATCATAATTATTATTACCACAATACATTGGTCGATGACCAAATGTTATAATCCATGGCCGTTCATGACGATTTTTATTCGCATTAATCAATGTTTTTTCAAGCCAATGATATTGACGAAATGTTTGTGCAAAACCAAATTGAATGAAAAAATAGAATTCTGTTGAAAATGCTATGAATTGTATTGGTCCAACATTGAACGTATAATAATGATTATTAATATTGCCATCTATCATATCGTACATTGTAAAACGATTAATATAATTGGAAAAATTACTGTCATAAAGGTGTAATCATTAAAAAATTTTGATTTAATGATTATCAAACAAATTAAATGATATTATATGATAAATGAATGAATGAAAAAACGTTACAAGAATTGTTAAATATTATATGATAAAACTAACTAACTATTTATGTTCATGATTGCCGGGACAAGTTTGATATGGTACACGGGCAGCAATAGGTTCGATAATTCTCATAAATTCATCACCTACATACGAATCATTCTATGAAGAAGATTTTTTTGTTTTTCATTTTCATTTTTTTTTTTCATCGATCATCAATATATACAATTAACATACCGAATCCAGATCATAGGCGAAATCACCTTATTGTTTTTGGTGAAAAAAAGGTACGTTCTATAACAAAATTGGATTACAACATTATCATAAGACTTACCAACATGTATTATTAGATCAACATTATTATCATCAATTTCTTTTTTAATACGTGGTATAGATTGGCCATTTTCTAATCCTAAATCACCAAAAATTAATAAACGTGCATTCCAATCATTAGCGGGGTTTTGTGTTTTAAAACTATACATTGTTGATGAAAGTGTTTGAAATCCATCTGATGAATAACATTGATAATCTTTAACAAAAATAACAATTTTTTTAAGATTAATAGAAACTATTTCATTGTCATATAAATGAATACCTACAATAACGCATAGATGGTTTAAGATCGGACAAACGAACACGATGAATAAAGTGTTTTCGTTGTTTTGGGCCACCATCAATAAATTCATTACAATTGCCAATTGCATTTTGATTCAATTGATTTGGTTCAATGCCATATTTTACTACTGTTTGATTGCATGATGAATACGTTGTCCATGTTATTATAATATCATTCTTATTGGCTAAATTCCATTCAATAGAATTTTTATTACGATTGTAAATATTAGAATAGAAAATTTGGGATCAAAAACAAAAAGGAATCATCAAATAATAAAAATAAAAAAATAATAATGATGATCATACAATCAAACTATTAGATAAGCTTTTTGTAAGAAAAAAAATGTTTAATGTAACACAAAATAATCCTACTTACATCCCAAAGAAATGTGTATCTGTTGAGGTCGATCATTTTCATTATCATTTAATTTTATAAATGTATTACGAAAATTGTAACAAAAACATAATGGAATAAATATTGTTAAAATAAAATAATGACTATAATCAAAAATCATTTTCGATTTCAATAATTAACAGAAACAAATCAATTTGATTTTTTTTCGGCAAAAAAAAACAACAATCATCCAATGAAGATCAAATTTTTCAAATAGCTATAATCCAAATGAAATTTTAAGAAAAAAATAATCGAATAGAAACAAAACAAACATTGCAAAAGATAAGATAAATTTTTTTCTCTCTGTTCAAGTTAAAATTACGTCTTAATTTTATTTATTTTTATTTATTCATTCATTTAATCATCATCAAATAAAATCAATAAATACAATATATGGTTAGTCAATGCAGCATGTTATTTTAATAAAATGAATTGATTATTATCATACAGACGAAGAGGAAAAAAATCATCAAAGTTAATCCATCATTCATCCAAAGTTGCGAAAAATGTACGGACTTTATCTCTAATAATCGTACGACATATTGGACATACATCCAATTGTGTTGCACATTTCATACAAGCCAATTGATGTCCACATGGCAAAAATACAACCTGTATCGCTCTATCACAACATATCAAACATAATAGACTAGATTGACTTTTTTGTTTATTTTTGTTAGAAAATAACGATGATGATGATGATGATGATGATGACGATGATGTTTCTTGTTCACATTTCGGTGTTGAAGTATCTTCACAATCTGAATTGGAGCTTGAATAATCGCTATCGCTCGATTCGGGTAGACAAAATATTGATGAATTTGGTGAAATAGAATCACGGCCATTATCATCAATATCATGATTTGAAGGATGTAGAACATTCATTCGTGACAAATAATCAAACAATTTGTTACAATCGAGAAAAAAGAAAAATTTATCCAAATATTCTTGATAAGTTTTTTGTGTCTCTTCTGGTTGACCCAATCGGTTCAATATTCGTCGTGCAGCTTGTTTCATGGCTGTAAAGTTCTCAAATGATAACTTTCGTAAACAATTTATATCGCAAACTTTGGATTCAAAAGGTGTTTCCATTTTCGAGCGCATTTCAATAATTTGTTTTTTGAATTTAACAAATTCTAAATAATCTGCTCCCTTTATACTGATAACGAATGGACATTCAGGAAAAAACAATGCATGTTCTTCCATTGGATTTTCTTCAGGTTTCCAGTTTAACAAATTGCCGCCACAATGGAAACAACGAGTACGATCCTCTTTACCAGTGTAAAAGAATCCGGCATCAATGAACAATTTTTTATCAGGTTTACCGGTTTTAGGCCAATTTTCATGCAAAAACGTCATTTCACGTTTCTTCTTTTCAATAAATGGAGGAAATTTAGGTGTCAGAGACTTATTATAAACAATTTTGATTGGTTCTTGGCTTGGAGCATCATTGATATAAAAATTTGACATTATTGATGAATCGTTACAATTGATATGAGGATCCAATTCGATTGGAACATTACCGACAGATTTGCCTTGAACAAATCGACAATTAGGAAAATGACGTCTATGTTCTTCCATGGCCAAATCTCCTAATATTGTTTAAGATTTAATGATTTTTCTTAGGTTTTTTTTGCAATAAACATACCTTTTTCCCAATTGCGAACTTTTCCACGACAGAATGCACAACAAACACTGTCATTTTTGTAATAAAAAAAGCCAGCCTTTGCTAATGAAGCTGGTGAAATAATATCCATTTTGGGCCATTGATGATCATAAAGAATATAAGTGACAATTCTTAATCGTTCATATTTCATTAATTCGTAAAAATTTTTTATATAATATTCATCGCGATCAAAATTAAAATGAATTGATAATTCTGGTTCTTCATGACCGGATGTTCCACCATCAATTTCGTCAATGTTATTTGATGTTTGTCGATGTTGTTGATGGGGATTTTTTGAACGAATAGTTTCGATTGGACTATGCACACATGTTCCGGAATTCATGTTTTTGCTATTAAAAGAATTAAATTTTTTCAGTAACAAAACCTCCATAATAATTTATTTTATTAAAAAAACTTAAACAAAAACAACATTTTTTACTGGATAACATTTGATAGAGATGATGAGGTGGTTTCTTTTATATATTAATCAAATACTTACAATTAATTATAATTATCTATTATTATAATTATAATCTATAGATTATCTTAATCATGTGATATTTTTATTGGAAATTTTTTTGATTTCAGAACAATACAAAGAATTTTATTAATCCAAAATAATAACAACAACAATAATAACGATACGTTGCTCGTTTGGTGGGGTCGTACGCACACAGATACTCAATTATCATAATATACCACGCATGCATAAAGCATTGCCAAAAAGGCGAGAAAGAGTATCAGAAAGTTGAAGTTGGAAATGCTGCTACAATTATTTGTCCGTTGAGTTGCCATACCACTACAATTTTAATATTTGGAAATCGCAACATCATCAAACAAACAGAAAAATGAAATGGTGGAAATTTTTCATATACGTTTCAATTATCTGGTATAGATGGCGTTATTACAAGATTTTTTTTTTTAATTGCGTAATTTATTTCTGAAAATTCTATAGAAAAGTTTTTTATTATTATTATCAATTTATTTTTTTTTTGCATCATTATAATGATAAATTAATTAATTTAATTAATATTAATTAGTTGTTTTGGCACTAATAATCTTCTCTTAATTGATAATTGTAAATAATATAATTTTGAATTTATTCAAAAATGATACTGATATAATTTTGATTTAACAATTTACAAAAAAAAATACCTATCATAAAAAACATTTTCTTGATTAGATATCCATAAACGATAATTGATATTTTTAATTATAATCATCATCATTTTTTTTTTTTTTTGAATAGAATGCAATTTAATAGGATTCCTAAGAACAAAGTGAATCATTTCTTATAATATTAATTGTTTTATTTTGTGTTGTTTCCTAAAGAAAATCGTCGTCATAATTGATAGATCAGTGCAACATTTAAAATATGTAGAATGTATTTTTTTTTTAAATTCCTAATCAGAGATGATTTTTTTTTAATTTTTATGGCAAATCAAGAAGTTCATGTTCTTCGTATAATTTTTGTGTTGCTTTGAATACCTGTTCGGTAATATTAGCAATATAGGCCATATTATCATTAACTTTTTTTGTACCACCAATTGGATAATGGCCACCATAAACACGTTCGACAAGATTACGGCGATATGGCAATGAAATAGTTGCGATTTGTACAGATTTTCTCACATACCATGGATGATATTTAGCCAATGTTTGATTATATGCCAAACGTGCAGCCGAAACTGTACTAGCATCATCTTCTAATTTGGTTACTTCCATCAAAAATATTGATATAAATTCTAATGCACGATGTAAACGTAATAATGTACGCGAACCGGATGGACGTTTTTGGTCAATCAATAGATTCTGACTACGTTCAAATTCGATCATCATAGCGATTGTACGATAATGGCTACCATGACTATCATCATTTGCATATGATTCTAATATTTCAATTTTCGAATGTACATCTTTGGTGACAAATGTGAACAATGCTCCAAACATGTTGAAGAACCTATTTCAATAGAGATGGGAGAAATTTTCAATTCTTATTTCAATAAAAATAATATCAAACATACTTGATCAATTCAGTGTATGCTTGCAGATAAAGGCATAAATCAATTTCGGGTTTATCCCGAATGGAACGTCTAAATGAATCACAGACAAGTTTCATATCTAATGGTGATACCGATGGATCATGATCAAATTCAAAATTCAATTCAGTAGAATAATCACAATCATCGTTTGATGCATCTTGGCTATTCATACTATCCAATGATTTTTTATCCATATCCATTTTAACTTTTTATTGCTAGATGATAAAATTTGAAAAGACAAACAAAAAATTAGAATTTTCAAATAGATACTTTTAAATAAACACTCACACAATAAATGAAAATAACAAAAACTAAATATAATCAGACAACGATTAAGGCTTAATGCAAATTCTTATAATTGATTTTTTTGTTTTTTTTTTTTGGAAATAATTTCTAATCCACGTAAAAGATAGATGATATTTGTTTGTTGATCGATTGAAAAATAATTTTCATATAAATGAGGTAATTGAGATTCTTTGGTCTATTAATTCTGATCGAATTCTATTGATTAATTGATCATATTAAAAAAAACATTAGAAATGATGTTTGCTGAATGTAAGGATGATCCGAATGATGCTTATTTAAAAAAAAAAACATAATCATAAACAATGTGGATGATAAACGATTTTTTTTTGATTTCTTCGTTTCAATGTTCATTCAACTTGTGGGTGGCAGTTAAAAAAGCAACAAAAACAGTTACACAATACCGAACGGGTTAAGAACCGTTTAATTTCAATTTTTTATTTATTTTATATTTTTTGGTATCAATTTGGTTGATGTTTGAAATCAATTTATATATTCGACATATAAAGATTATAACGTAATATCATTTCTATTTTTGTTTTATTACGTTTATCTTGTTGACATTAAAATGATGATATGATGACCTTGGTTCATTTATTTTAGTTGATTATGGTAAATTTATAAAATGAGAAACTTGATTTGATGGCCATCATGGATTCGGATTTCGCAATCAAAATTGATGATAATGATGATGATGACGATGACAACAGTAATAATTTGATATGATGATAGATGTTTAATTTTTTTCCTCAAAATGATCTTTTTTCTAAATGTCAAAATTATGAAGTTATAATCATCAACGTCATAATCACAAATACAAATTGTTGTAGAGAATAAGAAAATGAAAAAGTCATCGATTCAAATATATTAATCGTTTTCCATTTGAATTGTTTTTCTTTCTATTTTTTGACTCAATAAAAATTTACATGATGAATGTGTGCGGAAGGGGGTGGATTGGTTGGTTTGTTTTTTTTTTCTTCTTCGTTGTTGAATGAAACCAACTGGAAGAAATATAAAATGATGATGATTATCATGAGAATCAAATTCAAGATATTCCTATATCTCGTTGGTCGTCATCATTATTCCATTATAAAAAATGAACAACAACAAAAATAACATGATTATTATCGTTGCTGTGGTGGTGGTTGATGGTTGGCAGTGGTAAAAAAAAATTATATTTTGTTTCATAAAATGACGAGCAAATCATCATCATTGTAAAGAGAATTGGATTGGACATGCACACAATATAGAAAAAAGATGTAAAAAAAACGTAAAGCAAAGAAATAAAGTTTGAATTTGAATAAATGTTTGCTTCTACTTCTATTTTCTCTTTTCCATCATTATAATCATTATTTTACGAACGATTCTAGCGCCAGTTATGATGATGATGGGAAAATGTTTCCGAAAATAAATTCAAAATAATTTACCAAAATTTTTTTCCATGTATACATTTCGATAAAATTTTTTTATTTTCAAATTGGATAATTTTATTTCAATGATTAAAATTGATAATTTTTTTTCTATAAATAGTTGAAAAAATAAATTAATTTTTTTTTTTAAATCATATTTTTAATTTGTATTGTATTCTATCTGTACATATTGTAATCGATGTCTTTGTTTCTGTGATGATCGTGTTCGATGTTTATAACGATTTGAATGTTGTTCGACCATAGTTTGTAATGGATTTGATGAAAAAAATTCCGGAAATGATTCGATAACAAATTCAAATAATGAAAGATAATCAAATTTTGTTGAATAACAATCAAAAAGATCATTGTATTTAAAATAATCATATAACATTTGTAATGATTCAAATATTAAATCGGTGGTCATTTGTTGACGAATAAAATTATGATCACATTTATATAACCATAAATGATTAAATTCTTTTATTGTAATAATATTATCAATATCATCATTGTCAATTATTAATGTATATCGTTTATCGATCGAATAAATATTATATCGATTTTCATCCATTTCATCGTTTATGTTTAAAAATCGATTCAATTCAGTCTGATATAAATCATCATTCGATAATGTTTCTAATATTCTTGATTGTTTATCTAATGATTTTTTTGTTTTCATAAATATTTGATTTATATAATGTTGATAGTATGTTTTAAGATGCGATGATTCACTATTATGATCATGAACATTATGGATTTGTTTGCCCGTATACCAAAAATCCAACTGATTGATCATTTTTCTTACATCATTTGTTTCGAATAAAATATCATGATTATTATTACAATGATGTTCAAATTTATTAATAGATTCTATTTGAAAAATTGTATCTAAACGTTCGATGATAGATTCAAATCGAATGGGTCGTAATTGTATTATGCGGAAAAAACTTTGCTCATTACATAAAAAGGATGGCTCTAAATTCGATGTGATTATGATCGGTTTTCTGGAATTCTGTATGATTGTCCTTAATGAACGCCATAATTCATTTAAGGATTTATTTTCATAAACAATTGCATCAATATCATCTAATAAAATTAATGATTTAGAAAAACCGGTAGTCATTTGTTCATGTTTTTTTGTTTGCCATGTTGAATTATCAATTAGATAAGATTGTGATGATTCATATAATTCATTTTGTAATGATTTCGGTGTCAAATGTTTAATGGTTGCATTATATTCAAGTATATTATAGCCGCAATCTTTAGCTACAGCATAAACCATTGCCGTTTTACCGATACCATTCGATCCAAATATATACAAACATTTGCCATAATAAACATCATCAACCAGATCATCATCCTCGTATTTATTATCATCATTATTGAATTTGATATTCCAATTTTCAAGCCAATTTTTCATTATATTAATTTCATTCGTTTGTCCAATCATATTATCGATAGTTTTGGGCTGATATTTATGTGTCAAAATGTTAATATCATTAATAATCGTTGATTCGATTATCGAATCATCGATTGTTATAATTTTATTCTTATTAATTTTATCAACAATTTTTGATCGTGATTTTTGATTTTTTTGTTTCAATTTTTGAACGACTTGTTGCTTTTTCTTTTTTCTTTTCGTTTTAACAATTGTTATATCATTCTCTTCATCCCATAATTCAGTACTGGTAGAATAATTTTCAAATTCTGTTAAATCATCATCGATTTCGGTCGCTGAATCATCATCATCATCATTATTATTATCAAAAATAATGACTTTTGTTGCTTTTTTTACATTTTTTCTTTTGGACAAATGATCATTTTCATTTTTCTTATATGAAACATTAGAACGTTTACCAAAATAATCGGTTATTTTATTTGATGACATTTATGTTGATAATGATAATGATGATGATGGTAACAATGAAGAAAACAGAATATCAAATAAAAAAATTCAAAAATCAAATCATCAAACTAATAAATAAACACAAAAACACATGCGAGTATACAAAACAAAAAAATGCGCGCTTTCAAACATAACACAACAAAACGTCTATTGGGACCAATCCAATCACGATGATATCAAAATAGTTATTTTTTTCCATAGAATTATTGAAATGGCAGTTTGGTGAAAAAAAATAAAAATTAATAATTCAAATTCAAATTTTACCAATAAAAATTGTCAAAATTCTCAAGAATTTTGACAAACAAAATTGATTGAATTTTTTTTCCTCTTTTCATATTTCATATTTTTTCTCCCTCTAACAAAAAAAAAACTTAAACAAAACACAATAAGGCGAGATTGTCAACAATTTTTTTTTCAATTCTGACAGCAACATTTTCCGTTTTTTTTTTGTTCTCGGGAATAAAATCAAATTTAAATCGATGTTGTGTTTGGGTAGGAAAATATCATCATCATCATCGATTATCTAATTTTTTTTTGTTGTTGAACGAATATTTTAAAAAGGAAAAATTATCGAAAAAAAAATACAACCCAAATGTCAATAGATTTTTTTTGTGAACAAACAAACAAACAAAATGAAAAGAATATTTAGTATAATCAAGAAAAACAAACTAATTATAATGCAAATATTGCAATGAACTTTTTTTTTTGGAATTGAAATAATTTCTCAAAATGATTATTAGTTGATATGCAAACAAACAAACACATCGACAACAACAAAAGTCTTATAGAATTTATATTTTTTTTTTTCATTCATTCATTCATTCATCCGAAAATTCATCAGTTATTGACATTTAATCTATGTGTGAACTAAAACGAATTGTTATGATGATGATTATGTTGAAATTGTGATTCAATTCCATGTTCAACATTGCAACACATTCTCATCCATTTCATTCAGAATCAAGAATATTTTCATTTTTTTTGTTGTTGTTGTTGTTATTTATTTTATTCTGTTGAAGAGATTCTATCTATTCTTTTCTCTTTTTTTTTGTTACCCGGATTTTTTTTTTCTAGATCCTTGATTCATTTTCTCTCACATTGTGTGTGATTTTGTTTCCAGTTTTTTCTTTTTTTTTTTGTTGCTGGGTTCATTCAGATCATGATTTTGATTTTGATTATTATTATCATTATCGGTATATGATTTCAATTATTCATGAACTAATCGTTATGATACTATTATTTTATTTTTATTTATTCACTGAAAGGATCTCTTCTTTTCCCTTGAATTATTCTGTAATTCTGTTCATTTCAATTTTTTTTCTTTTGATTGTTGTTGTTGTTGTTGTTCTCACTCTCTAGTTCTTGATTTTTTTTATTATAATGGATCTCGGTAAATCGTTTATAATGAGATGATATGAGTCTCAATGATGATTATAATAATAGTTTTTTGCTGTTTTTTTGTTGTTGTTGGTCTTTATCGGCAACAACAAAATGATGATGATAATGATGATGATGATGATGACAGGCCGAAATGAATTCCGAAAAAAAAAACCAAAACCAAAAATTGGGTGTTTTCTTATCTGTTCTGTCTTTTTTTCTTATCTTTTGGATTTTTTTTTCTTCTTCTTCTTCGTTGAATTTTATTAAATTCTATCATATATGGCATTTTTTTTGTTGGTTTGTTTTCCGATTCTAGTTTCGCATTGTATCAGATGATGATAATGATGATGATCAAAATCAGAATTAAAATGAACAACAACAACAACCAAAGAAAAAACAAGGTGACAGTTGCTACTCTATTGTTTTTATTTTTACTTTCTTGCTTGAAATGTAATAGTTTGGATATGATAATTAACCATAACAAAAAAACAACAAAAAAAATAAATAAATATTAATCAAAATATACAAAATCAGTGATATAGAAAATCATTTTCATAGTTAGTTTTTAATGGTTAGCATTTCATCACTTGATTGTCACAACAACAACAACAAAAACGTCAAATATTATGATAAATGGAAATTCTGAATGATTCCGCTATTTTTTATTGTTTATTTGTTTCTTTTTTTTCGCTTCATATTCTTCAAACAACCACTTAAATCTCGACATATCAAGAGACTGTAAAACAAAACAAAACAAAACAATCATCTTGTTGTCATGAAAAAAAATCATAATTCAAAAAATGTTGAATTGATATTATTGAGTAAAAATGTAGTAGATAATAAATAAAACAAGCGGTTTACACTTGATTTTCATCAAATTCATCTTGACCAAAAAAAAAAACAAAATGAAATATTGGACAAACTTTTCATTTCTTCAAATGTCCATCATATTATTATTTTCTTTTCTATTTCTATTCCCGGATTCATAAAAAAAATTCAATAATCTTTATTTAATTAAAAAAAAATATTCAAAATGGACAAAATAAAATGGCTTTAAACATTTACAACCAAAAAAAAAGAAGAATTTTAATGTACTCTCGAATAAGTGTTTTTTACCGGAAAAAAAACTTAGCTAAACTACTTTCATTAATTCATTCATTAACATCTTTGTTTGTTTTTTTTTGTCTTTTCTTACTTAATTGACTTTCTAAACATTTTAATTTTTTTTTTTGTTTTGTTTCTTGAATATCATCAAGTTGTTGTTGTTGTTGTATAATCATTATTATTGTCATATTATTAATTTAGTTGATCCAAAACTAAACAAAAAACAACAACTTGAAATAAATAAAATGAAATAAACAAAAGAAAGGAATTTTTGTTGTTGTCTGACAGACAAAAAAAAACAACAACAACAACAATAAACTAATAGAAAGGAAGGTCGAAACAATTCATTTTTTTTGGTGAATAGGGCAAATACAGCTATATATAAAAATTATATTTACCAAAATTATATAATATATCTATGAAAATGAATGAATGACATGAAAATTATATAACCAATTTGGTTACTATATTTATTCGTGTGTGTGTGTGTGTGAATGTTTGAAGGACGAAATGAATGAGAAGTGAGAGAGAGAGAGAGAGAGAGAGAGAGAGAGAGAGAGAGAGGGAGAAAAAAACATTATTCCTTTGGAACATTGGAATTCACTACAAACGGCACATATATGAAAAAAATATATCTATCAGAATTTGGATAGGGTCCCTGGTTTCTCTCTCTCTCTCNATATCAATATAGTGAGATAACCAAACACAACAAAAAAAACATACATCCATATACATTTTGAATTTAATAATAATAATAAAAAATTTACGGTGTGGAAATACTAATGTTGAAAAAAAAATTCTACTAACTGACAAAACGAGAAAGCTAGAGAGAGAGAGAGAGAGAGAGAGAGAGAGAGAGAGAGAGAAACCAGGGACCCTATCCAAATTCTGATAGATATTTTTTTTTCATATATGCTTGTGTAATGTGTGTGTGCTGTTTGTATACAATATAGTGAATTCCAATGTTCCAAAGGAATAATGTTTTTTTCTCCCTCTCTCTCTCTCTCTCTCTCTCTCTCTCTAGCTTTCTCGTTTTGTCAGTTAGTAGAATTTTTTTTTCAACATTAGTATTTCCACACCGTAAATTTTTTATTATTATTATTAAATTCAAAATGTATATGGATGTATTTTTTTTTTGTGTTTGGTTATCTCACTATATTGATATGTTTTATTCTTGGATGTCGAAAAACCAAAATTTCAAAACCAAAATGCAATGAAGAATGATTTTTTTTTTAATATTTGAAAGAAAAATAAGAAAGAATTCATCGTTTTTTTATGAGCACATCATATCTATTTTTTTTTCAATATTCGATTCGATCAATTTTTTTCAACAAAAAAAAATTTATGTGATCGTTTTTATCATCATCATTGGTTGGTTGGTTGGTTGGTTATTCCTAGAATAGAATTTAAGGAAAAAGGCCCGGCGAATTTTGTCTTCAATAATGATGATGATGATGATGAAATAAAGTTTTTTTTATTTTGTTTGTTGATATTGGTATGTGAAAGTATGGATTCTAAAATGCCTGGATTCTTTAGTTGGTAGATTCTTCGTGCTGTCACTAGAATAGTTTAAATCATTTATTATTATTATTAGTTTTGTGTTTTGTTTTGTTTTCTCAATTGTTCTTGCCAAACGTATTAAAATAAAAACGCAAGCGCATTTATTAATCATCATCATTATAATTATGAAACTCTTAAAAAAATATTATAAACCAAAATGAATGACGACGGAACTCAATGCAGAAAAAAACTAAGTGCTAAAAATTACGTCATATTTTTTCCGTTTTTGTTTTTAGTAGACACTTATCATCATCATCATCGACGACGACGACGACGATCATGGCGACATTTAGTGGCTAACAATGAATTAATAAATGAATTTGCGCATGAATGATATTTACAAAAAAAAAATTTCATTATATTGGCGCGGTTATTATTATTACTACTACTACTATCCATTTAAAGTATTTTATTATTATGGATCGATAGAATTCTATTTCAATTTTTTTTTTTTTGAATATACAAAGATTTGTGAACACATCCAGAAGGAAAAAAAATTGAGAGATACGCATGCGAATTTTATTTATATAGATAAAAATTAAAAACTTTAGAAGAATAAATGACGACATTTACCTCTGCTCCAAACAAAAAAAAAACTAAGAATCAATATAAAACATATAGAATTTGTTATATGTTTCCAGATTTTCCGAATCAAAGAATTCTATAAGAACATATAAAAAAACTGTCTCCAACAACTATAATCATTACTACAATCACAAATGTATTACTGAAACAAAAAAAAAATACCGAACCATTTTCCATTCAAGATTCCATATGATATGGAACTATGGCGTCATCGTCATTGTCATTGTTGTTGTTTTTGTGGTGTTAGTGGTAAATGGTTGTGGCCTCAGCGACGTCGTCGTTGGTCATAATCATCATCACTATAGAGAATCTGACTCTAAAGCTTTTTACATTTTGTTAAATCATTAACGTTTGTGTGTGTGTATGTCCTTCTTTCATGCGACCCCCACCCTATTCTTGATTCTACCATTTTTTTTTGTTTGCTTCTCATTCACATACTCACAACATTATTATTATCAACACAAAATATTTTTGAATATATGGCGTCCATGTATGTTATTCTGTACACACATATAAACATTGTTAGTGATGAAACATTGATGATATCAATGTAAAATGTTTGAGCGTGTGTGCATGAGTGTGTGTTTCAGGTTTCTCCAAAAAACAAGAAAGAAAGAAAGAATTTTTTCATTCTTTCTTTTTTTTTCATTCTCTCTTTTCACATACATTTTCATAATGATTTGAGATTTAACTTTAAAATGATGAAAATGATTCCATCAGTATAAACGAAATATTTATGAAAAATGTGAAATGAATAAAAGAATATAATCAAGCAACATTTCTTCTTAAAAAAAATGAAAATAAATACTGACAACAACAACAACAACAACAACGGAAGAAGAAAAAAGTTATTAAATAACTAAACATATGAAGAAACAAGAATTATTTTCAAAATTGATTCTCGATATGATGAACATGAATGAATGAAAAAAAAAATTATTTTTTATTATCCACCATATAAAAATTCTGTTGACCAACAAACAAATGAATGAAAACGTTTGAATGCTGAAATGTTCATGAAATTATGTTTATGATTTGTTGTTATTATTATCGTTAATAATATATTTACAAAATCTAAATTCAAATTCAATCATCCAGTGCAACATTTGACCCTTCGATTTTTATTTTTATTTTCAAACAAAATTATCCACAAGGCCTTATTCATCATATTGATAATTTCGGATTGATTGTTTTTATTGTTTCATTGTTTTGTTGTTTATTTGTGATTTATTTTAATTTTTTATGTTATCTTGTGTTGTTGATACTGTGTGTGTGTGTGTGTGTGTGTTTGTTTGTGTTTGTTAATTTCTATGTGTGTGTGTGTGTGTCGTTTAGTCTTAATGTCCCAAATGTGTCTTGTCATCATCATTATATAATAATAATAATAATAATAAATCAAATTAACCGATTTAGAGAATCAATTTGAATGCATTATTTTTTTTCAATATAGAAAATTTTAATGAAAATTTTTAATTTAGTTTTGTTTTGTTGAAAAGAAAAAAAAAGATCAAATCTTTTGTAAAAATATTAGCTCAATAATTGTTGTTCGTTTTCTTCTCGTCTGTGTGAATTAATTTTTTTTTTTCGATTTACAAATTAAAAAATACATACAAATCAGATTTAGTAATAGCAACAAAAACAAAAATTTTCCATCGATAAACGTTTGTTTCAATTTAGTAATGGGAAATGAAGAAAGTCAATTTCAGAATAATCCACAACATCGCCAACAACAACCACAATCAGGATTAAATTCTAGCTTTTACAATTCTATTGGTGGAAACGATAATTTTCAATATTCACAACATCAACAATATCAACAATATCATCCACAACAACAACAACAACCCCAACAACAATCGAACAATATGAATGTTTTATCATCAATGACATCAAATCTGGCGCAAAAAGCGGCCGGTAGCGCTAATCAAACAGGATCAATGTTCAATTCAATTGGACAATTATCAACATCATTTCCAAATAGTATTAAACCAATGAATCAATTAATTAATCAATTTCATCCGGGATCATTTTCTGGCATTGGTGGTATGGGACCTAATAAATCAACAGGATCACAACCACCAACAGCAACAAATACGATGACAAATTCTATGCCCAATATTACCTCATCATCATCATCATCATCAAATGCCAACATAGCAACAACAGCTAAATCTCCCATACCTACACAAGTGCCCGAAGTTGATCTTAGTGGTTTAACTGAAGAAGAAAAACAAATGATACAATCTGTAATGGCTAGAGCTCAACAAGATACACAAAGTCTAATGCCACATACACCACAAGCTCCAATATCATCACCAAAAATATCGACAACATCGTCAACACAACAAATGTCATCATCATTATCAACAGCAACGACAATGCAACAACAACAGCAACCACAACATCATCCTCAACAAAATTCATCAATGATGCCATATTCAAATGAGTTAGTATATAAATCTTTTTTAAAATAAAATTGAAATTTATAATTTTTTTATCAAGAAAAATTACAATAGAAATCAAACGTTTACAAGAATAACAAAAGAGAAAATGAATAATACACATCACTTTCTTTACTTTTTTACTTTCAAATGAAAAAAAAATAATTGCTATTTTTATTCGAAACCAATTAATGAATATTTTCATGATAATCCTTTTGCTCATCAACTAGATGATGTCAATTATTATTATTTTTTTCTTTATCTTTTTCAATCACTTGTTAAGGTTTTTTTTGTTTTGTTTTCGAATTTTGGAAAATTTAATTGAACACAGAAAAAAAATTGTGGCTAGAAAAAAATCGAAACTTTTTTTGTTCAATTAATCAAGAAATTCTAGGAAAATTTTCAATCAATTTTGTGTGTGTGTGTAGATAATAATTATTTTCATCGTAAGACGGCCGTATTTCTGGTTTATATTCTGGGTGATTGATCTTTAAAAAAAATCCCTCAATAAGAACCAAGTGAAAAAGAATTTAATGATTTTTTTGTTGTGTATGAAACCTTAACTATTGTCACAAATATAGGTGATATGTTAAAAAAAACTGTGATATTGGTTTAACCAAAATGTAACAGTCGGTTTTTATTTGAATTTTTCAAATTATGAAAAAAATTATTCGATAACATTGATGTCAAACGTAGAAAAAAAATTAATTAATTAATCAAGTAAATTTCAAAATCTACACAATTAATGTAGCGATAAATGAAAATGAAAAATTCTAATGTAATGTAATTTGATCAAATGTGTTTTTTTTTCTGGTTCTGTTTTTTTGTTTGTCATGTTTTTTCAATGATGATGACCTATGATGATGATGATGATCCGAATATTATTTACCAACAATGGATAATTCCATTATTCTAGAATCTAGATAGATAGATAAATGTTTTGAAAGACGAAACCTGAAAAAATTATTTAGTTACAATCAAAAAATGAAAAAAAAATCCATTTTCATAATGTTTCATATTTGATAATTTTGAATGAAAATGTAGAAAAAAAAATTTAATCATTTTTTTACATCCATTTCTCTCACTCTCGGTCATCTCGATTGAAACAATGAAAATAAATAAACAAAAAATAATTTCTAGGTACATCGCAATTTGAGATTTTTGCTTTCACTTTTTTTTTCTTTGTCATAAATATATGTGGAGAATTTATATATAATGTTTATATTTCAAAGAAAAGCTTGATTAAAGAATTCGACCGAATAAATAGAATAAAAATCTATCTATCTATCTATATGAATTTGTCCGATTTCGACGGAAATAGACCAAAAAAAAGAGATAAAAAAACCCCATCCCACACTTTCATACAAAATGATGATGATGATGATGAAAAAAAATTATAATGATAATAATAACATCCGCATTTCTGAAAAAAATAGTTCTTGTGTGGGTGAACAAAAATGGGGTATAAAAAAAACAAAATTCGATGAAAAATGATGAACGAGGATTTTGTTGTGAATGATTTTGCTCCATTTCTTTGATTATTATTATTATTATTATTATTTGAAACAACTTTTGCAACATAAAAATTTTATTTGTAACCAATTCTTAATTCACAATAATTTCTCAAAGAATATTCCAATCATTTTATTTTACCTTTTCAATTTTTTTTTCATCATCATCATCATCATCATAAACCCATGTGTGTTTGTTTGTATGAACATTTGTATGATTTGTTTGGTTGTTCCGGTTTTTTTCTTTCTTTATTTATTTTACTTTTTTCTTTATTCTTCTTCTTCTTTGATGATTGAATATTTTTAACGGAGCCGCTCTTTTTTTTTATCATCATACTCACTTCTATCATCATCATCATCATCAACATCGTCTTGGAACTAAAGCGATACATACAACACCGTGTGTGTGTGTTAGTATGTGTCCTTGGTTTTTTATATATACTAAATTCGTCCTATATTACAATTTTTTTTTTTTTTGGTTGTTGTTATTTTCCTACCAATGTTCGATTCGGCTTACAAGTTTTTATGGTTCTTGAATACATACACACACACAGACAATACATTACTGAATTTTTTTTTCTTTGGTCGGATCTTGTATAGTTTTTTTTTTTTTTTGGTATAATAATAAAATTGTGGGCTATATGGAATCCTTGATTCTGACCTAGATATTTATTAATATTATTATTATTATTATATACACCATACGCTTAACGAATCGAGTACAAACAAAAAAAAAATAGGCTTTATTACATACATACACACACACAGTGAAAGAATCAATGGATGATTGGATGTAGTTATTATTTGACATAGAATTTTGGAATCGAAGTTTTGGGTTGCCTGGTTTGGTCAACTTTAAATGACAGATATTTTTTTTTTAATTTTTTTGCTATCAATATATTTCTTTGACATTTTTCAGTTATTTATTGAATTATCATTTTGAAATTGATATATATATTGTTTACGATTATATTGATGTTGGTTGCTGTGTGAACAAATAATAATCAATTTTTTTTTAATTTAATTCGAATTTTGTTAAGCATTTTTTTTCATATTCAAATTGAAATAAATTTAGTTGACATAATGAATTTGGTGGAGAACAAGGAACAAGAAAAAAAAGTGAATCTTTTTCTTGAAATTTCAATACTGGAACACATACAGAGAAAAGAAAATTACAGAATAACTTTATTCATTTTGGAAAAAATTTTAGCCTTTTTTTTGAAGAAAAAAATTTGAATTTTTTTCTTCAGTGAAAAATTTAAATTCAAAGAAGAAAAAAACAATAGAATAAAATTCAGAATCGGGAATCATAACCTTATTGCTATCTTATTTCATTTCAATTCATTTTTTCTTTTTGCCCGCCTGGTATGGTTTTATGTTTTTTTATTCATTTCATTTGTTCGAATGCAAATGTGATTCCGTAATGAAATGAGAAAAAAAGAAAAGAAATAAGAAATTCAAGGCGAAAAAAATGAAATGAAATTTAAAATGGTTTCTTTGTTTTATTGCAACAATTTTTCATTGATAAGACAAAAAAAAATACTTAAAGAAATAAATTGAACAAATTGATATTCTTTATTTTAATAACATTGAAATTTGAATGATTACAGAATACAAAAACAACAACAACAACAACAACAATTATCAAGAACTGGACAACAATACGATTCTCAACAACAATCACGATCAAATTCTCGACCACAACAACAACAACAACAACAATTTAATATGATTGGAACATCTTCAATGCCAATAACATCAGCAATAACATCGACAATAAATTCTACAACAGGATCATATACCGAACAACAACAACAACAACAACAACAGCAAAGAAATATGAGTGGTGTTGGTATTCAAGGACAATCTTCAAATTGTAATAAAATAATAATGACATCATGTTCAATATGTCATAGAGATATAGAACAAAATTTATTGATCAAATGTAGTGATTGTTTTAAAATGTTTTGTCAACAATGTGGACAACAAGATCCAAATAGACAGGTATATATAGAGATAATTTTATTCTATATTTTCATTATTTTTTTTGATGAAATTTTTTGATTTTTTTTTTGAATTTAAATTAAATTACTTTAGATACGATGTTGTATTGAATGTTATAAAAGACGACAATTATTACCGCCTAGTCTAGTGCCTCCGCCATCCGTATCATCATCATCGACAACATCGATGAATCTAAATTCTTCCAATTTAAATCAACAACAACAACAACCGTATTCGAATCAAATTATGCCACAAACATCTTCATCAACAACAATGAATTCTTTCGAACAACAACAACAACAACAGCAACCAATTATTCAACAACAACAATTAAATTCACAAAATATTCAATCATCAATGATTCAAGATAGCAATTACTTTCAACAACAACAACAACCAAATCAGTCAGGTATGATCATACAGCAAGAACAACAACAGAATTTAGGTCAACAACAACAGCCAAATATTTTTAATAATCAAACGGATAGTTCGACAAATCAATCTAGCTCATCAATGATTAATATTGGTTGTAATAATAATCAAATGATTGGACAACCAAATTCAATGAAACAACAACAACCAACAACCATGCCAAATATTTCAAGTCAATCTATGCCAAATGCACAACAACAACAACAACAACAACAACCGTTCATGCAAACAAATACAAATATGAATTATACGAATCAACCGTCGACAAATGTCACAAGTCAACAACAACAATTGCAACAAACTGGAATTCATGGACAACAATTTATGGATTCCACAACTAGGACAAATTTATTATATAATCCAGATGGAACCATACAACAACCTCAGCAATCATCATTGAATCAGAATCAAGCACTTATGCAGCAACAACAACAACAACAACAACCTCAAAATTTACAGACGATGATTCAACAAAAAAATCCAACAACATTATCAAATCAACAATGCCTAAATCAGTCTTCCGAAATGATTGATGCATATGGTCAACCAATGATCAATCGTTCTGTTCAAGATTCCCAACAAAATTTACAGCAACAAAATTTTCCGATGGGGCAACAACAAATTTCAAAATCAATGCCTCAACAACAACAACAACTTATAGCAATTACTGGACCTGATGGTATGACTGAAACGATAAATTCATTATCACAGCATCCACAACAACAACAACAACAGCCAACACAATTAACATTAATGGGACAACAACAGAATGGTAAGTGACATTTATCATCATCATCATTTGCTTTTTTTTCATTGTCGTTGTTATTTGTCAATGTTCGTAAAACGTAGACATAGTCTATCTAATCTAGTCATTAGATTCTATAGTGTATAGTATGTAAATAGTTTTTTTTGTTTAAAGCATTAAAAGAAATTATTATTATTCGATTGCCATTTACTTTTAACTAATTGTTACAGTTTTCTTACAATCAAGAAATATTTTAACGCTTTTTTTCTTTGCTTTATTTGTTTTTTTTCTTTCTTCTTTATCTAAAGTATAATACATTTTTAAGTTGTTTTTCGCTCTTTTTTGTTTCATTATTTATTAATAGCTTATTATTGATTTAACCCCAAAACAAAACAAAGCTAGAATAACATATATAGTTTTTCAATTAATTGATTAATTAATTAATTAATTAAATACAGAATTTGAAATGATTGAAAACAAACGAAACAACAACAAGAAAAGAAATTCAAATATTTTTTTTCAGATGAAAATTATGTAGTGTGTTCGTGTGTTTGTTCATAAATGAACGAGAATTTATGTTCAAATTAATTAGTATTTGTTTTTTTTATGTTTGTCATCGGTTAATTAAATTTTTTTCTTCTGGATTCTCTTATTCTAAAATGTAAATACATATTTTTTTCAAAAAAAATACAGCCAATATTTCAATTATTAGCATTTCTTTCTTATCAATTATTCAATTTTTGTTAATTTTTTTTTCATTTCTACATAGCTGATGAAGAAGAATAAAAAAATCACAATTATTTTCAATTGATTGCATTTTCTATTTAATTATTCCAGAATAATAAATTTTTTATATAGTCAATAAAGTCAACTTGTGAAAGAGAATTCAACATTGAAAAAAAAATGAATTGATTGATAGAATAGAGAATACAATCATCATCATAATGATGATGATCATGATCATTCTGTTCACGTTTATCGGTTAATTGTCTATCACAAAAATTTCAAATAATAAAATAAAATGGAAAAAAAACTATGAATGAAAAAAATAAAACACACATTCAAACATACACACACACACACACACAATTCAATTATCAATCTGTTTTTTTTTCATAAATTTTATGTCTACAACAATCTTTTACTACAGATAAAAAAAAATGTTATCGGCATATATGATATGATGTGTGTGTGCGTGTGTATAATTTAGATCCTTTGATGCCACTGCCAGTATAAAGATCTTTCACTCTCAATCTTTCTTTTTTTTCACCAAACTTCAGAATCATACTTATCATGTCGATCAAATTATTCCATTATATTCTTTCTTTCTCTCTATCTTTCTTCCCTTTCTCTTTCTCTGTCTTTTTGTCCATCCAAATTACTTATCCAAAATTCATTTTTTTTATTAGCATATGAAAATGGTCAATCTTTAAACAACAATAACAATAACAACAACAACAACAATGAAAATAATTTGAATGAACTTGATGAATATGGTTATTTAAATTTTGAAATTGATGAAGAATATGAACGACAAGGTGAGTATGATGACGACGATGATGAACTCGATGAAGATGAAGACGATGATGATGATGATAATAATTATAATATGGTTATGGTAAGAAGCCAACAACAGCAGCAATCATTCGGGAATATTTTATCAAAAAATAAATTCCATCAAAGGCCATCAACAGGCCGTAATCGTATACAATTCAGTAGTAATAATAATAGTGGAGGGAATATAGCCATAGTTTCAACATCAAGAGGTATCAATCAAAAATTATCACCATTTCATTATCAATATTCACAATATCATTGTGGTGGTAGTATGATAAAAAATCAAGTATATACTATACCGGAAGAAGATGAAGAAATTGATCAACAATCACAACATGATCATGATAATAGATTAAGTCCATATGATGATTCATCATCTTCATTATCACCACAACCACAACAACAACGAAGTCCAAAAACATTGCCCATATTGAGCCCAAATCAAATTGCCCAACAACAAGAACGAAGACAAAGTATTAGCATTATGAGTGGTCTAGTTGGTGGTATTACAAATCGATTTCAAAATCAATTTGCAAATAATAATGATTCACAACAACAACAAAGTTCATCATCATCATCATCATCATCATTAATACCAAACAAAGGTCGTAATAATCGTTCAAATTCTGAACCATTTTTAGTATTAAATGATTCAATGATGATGTTTCGTAAACGAGGTAATTCTACAAATAAATCTTTCAGCAAAACAAAAGAAAAGAAAAGAAAAAAATCAATCATTCGATATTTTTTTTGTTGCACTTCTAATCACGCTGAGACAATCAGCAATTTGTTCTAAAGAAAGAAAACAAAAAGTATTCATTTGAGAACGAAAAAAAAAAAATCCAAACAAATATCACCAAATAAAAGAAATGAAACCACCACCATTACCACTACCAACACCTCGTTTGACATCCCGGATATTATGTTCATCCTTACTTCTAAATTAAAAAAAAACTCCATTCTCCAAAAAAAGCTCTTGATTCACAACCGCTTCCATTTATTCCAGATATTCTTATCCTATTGATTTAAAAAAAAATTTCAAATTCAAAAATTTTTGTGTGAAATATCCTGAATTTTATTTGATCTCTTTGAATATATAAATCGCTAAATATCAATTCTTGCTATCTTTGCTTTCTGCTCCATTCACCTTTCAATCTTGTCTATTTGTCCCATGTTTCTTCTAATGATGATAATGATAAAATTCACCATATTTTTTATCCTCGTTTTATTGTTGAAAATATATCTGTCTGTTTATCCATTCAAATTCCATCAATCAAAATCAATCCATCATTCATTCATTCATTCATTCATTCATTTATTCCCGATTGATGCTTGCTGTTGTCGTTGCTATTATCATTTACCATCCATAATTAAAATTGATTTATTTCATTCATCCTTGATTCTGATTTTTTTTTTGTTTTTGTTTTGTTGTTTTCTTTTCATGAAAAATATATTGAATTTTTGCCTAATTGATTTATTTTTTTTTCTCATTGACAAATTCTTACATGCGCAAGCGTATTTTTGTGTGTTTAACAAAAATCTAAAATATCAATCTGACATTTTAATATAATAATCAGAAACATATAGAACAGTATAGCTATAGGAAAAAAAGGTATAGATTAGATTTTTGTTTCTTCTTCTTCTTTTTCAAAAAAAATATATCTACTTTTAATAATGATGTTGACTACGTAATAATAATAATCATCATCATCATTTCCGTTTTGAATTACTGTCTAATACATGTGTGTTGTCGGATACACGGTTATGCGTGGGAGTTTTTTTTCAAGTTTGATGTGATTTTATATTGTAAATAAATAAATAGAAAAAAAAAATTCTTTATTCAATTTTATATAAATGTTATGTGCTTTTGCGTCAATGTCCATCATCTATAGTGTGTGTGTGTGTCTATTCATAGAATCTTTTCATTATTTTAATATTTTAGCCATAATATTTTAGCAATAATAATTGTAATAGGAAATTTAAAAAATATTATGCAATGTGAAAATTTTACATTACTTTTTCAAATTTAATTTTAAATTTAAAAAAAAATTTTTTGTTTCCATCTTTTGATTTTGATTTTGGCAGCATGTTTGCATGATAGAAATGCAATTGTGTGTGTGTTGTGTAGTGCGTGTGTGTATGTGTATGATTTCCAATGAAATCAAATTGGATTTGTAATGATTTTATGTTTGTTAATTTTTGATCGAAATTTATTAATTTTGTTTTAATTAATTAATAATTTTTCATAAGCTAATTAAAAATTTTCTCATATTACATCCCATTTTTTCTTTTATCCGATTTTAAATTCATTTTATTTTCATATGAATCAAAAAAAATCGAAATAGTTCCTGGAATTCAAATAGGTAATCAGCAACAGCCACAACAATCATACGATATGACCAATACATCAATGTCGATGATGGTCACACCAAAACAACAATCTTCATCAACATTACAAGATTCACAGAACATGATCAATATGAACCAATTAATAAATTCTCAACAACAACAACAACAAAAACAACCACAACAATCAATTGGTATTGGATCACAAATGAATAATACACAACAATTATCGAATAATTTTAATCGTATGGATATTGATCAATCGTTAATGTATCTATTACAACAAGATATATCAATGGCAAATCCATTATTAACACAACAACAACAACAACAGCAAACAAATCAGATGTCAACAATGGCTATTAATCCAGCAATGCAAACACAAGCTGGATTTTCACAACAAAATGATCAACAAATGGACAGTCGATTTATGAATAAAATAATGTCACAACAACAGTTTCAACCACAGCAACAACAACAACAACAACAACAACAACAACAACAGGCAAATTCGATACAATCAATGAATAATAATTTTATTGGTCAAAATAATCAAACAAATCAATTTATGCAGTCAAATTCTAATTCACAAATTTCACAACAAAAACAACAATGCCAACAATCATCATTATCTAGTGGACAAATGAATCGAAATTCTATCGAAAGTGGAAATAATTTGACAAATGAAATATCATCATCGTTTGATGTTAATGGTCAACAAAGAATTAATCAGCAAAATGAAATGCTTATTCAAATGTCCAAATCTATGATTAATCAACCACAGCAACAGCAGCAACCAACACCATCATCAATGATTAATACTACAATGCATCGTTCAATGCCCTTATATAATATGGCTGGCCAATTACAACAGCAACAACCATCATCAAAAATTATCGATAATAATAATAATGTGCCAACAGATTTTCATCATTCTCTTATCTCATCATCATCATCATCCGCCCAACAACAAAATCCAGGAATAACGATGAATCGTTTGAATCAATCGACAGCAATACCAAGAGAATATCAACAATCAAAACAACAACAACAACAGATGGCAGCAATATCATTGGATCAACAACAGCAACAGCAAGGATGGCAACATTCGACAGAATTATCTCCAATTTTGGATGTTTCACCATCGATCGAAGCGGCTGAAGCTCAAGAAATTCTTGAAAAACGTCGTAATACTGTATGTGAATTTTTTTTCATATTTTTTTGCGTAGATTAGCATTTAGATTTTCAATATACTATATTATTAATCGAATATAAAACTAATATTTATTAATAATGATGATGAATGAAAAAATTAAAAACAAAACAAAACAGCTACAAACAACGGCTCGCCAAACAACTAATAATCTGGGAACTGATATGACCAGCATTAGCGGAATGATTGATGATTTTAATCGAGCAATCGAAACATTAAGTTTGAATCAACGCGGAAACGGAATCAACATTAACAACAGCAGCAGCAGTAGTAGTAGTAGCGGTATTAATAAAAATAATCAATCCAGAATAGATGGAGATACGAATAAACAACTAAACAAATTTAACTTACCACCACCATCATCATCATCTTCATCATTATATCAGAGTTCAAACAGTATTAATAATAATAATAAAAGTAATAATAAATCAATGTTGTCAAGAAGAGCAAGTACCGGAACAGCTGAATTGAGCTATGATCAATATCATCCAATCATTGGTGGTAAACAAAATCGTATAATGCCAAACATTTCTTCGACAAACAATGCTGATGATATGAAAAAATTATTTGAAACAACATTGACCCGTACAGCATCATCATCAGTACCAACAACAACAACGACAGCAACAACAACAACTATAACGACAACAACAAGCAAAACGGGAATAATGAACACAGCTGGTAATATTACCAGTACATCTACCGATTTGGAATCATTAAAACAACAGAAAGCATTAATAGCAACGAATACACAGATTGAACAACAACTACAGAAACAGCAACAAATTCTCATACAACAACAACAACAATTTTTGCAAATTCAGCTCGAACAACAACGATTACAGAATCAATTACAAGAAAAAAAGGCCCAATCTGAACGACAACAACAACAACAACAACAAAAAACAAACAATGATAATGTTAATGCTAATAATCTAGGTCAGACAAATAATAATAATGATAAAATGGTAGCAAAATTAAGTGATAAAAATCGTGAAATTGCTGTCAACACCGATGATCATTTGGTTAATAATCATCATACAAATCCACATCATCATCGTGGACAAACAACAAGACAAACAACATCATTGTTGAAAAAAGATAAACAAGTTTCGACCATGTCAACAACATCTCCATTATCAATGCATGATAGAAATGTATCAAATCAACAACAACAATCTTCGGCCATTGTAAATGTTCGAGCATTAGGTCCAATGGATCAATCATTACCTGATCAACGTGATACATCTCGATATCATCAACAGCAACAAAGAATTCCTTCGTTATCAATGCAAACTTCATCATCATCATCATTGCATCGTCGTTTACCTCATCCAACTGGTGATGAGATTCTAAACCATCAGCAACAATATGGCCATACAAGTCGACCATCATCATCGATTACAACAACAAGCGCATCGCAACGTTCTAGTTCGCCTAAAACTTCGACACGTAAAATTAATCCCAATACTAGAATTACATCATCGGTCACATATCGTCCAAATATTGTGACCAGTATAGCGTCGTCAAATGCAAACACATACAAAAATCCATCCGTTTCAAATGTTAGTTCCATATTGGCACAGAAAAAGGAATCATTCGTTGCCAATAAAGTATCAAAATCGTTTGGTTTACATTTCGGAACAAGTGGAACACCTGCATCTACATCTACGAATGAACGAATTGCATTAAACACTTTAGGATATTTAGATTTGGATACGAAAAATGTTTCATTCGAAACAGGTTTAAGTGGTAAAAATAAACGACGAAAACTTCCCGAAGTACCGAAAGATGAAGAACCGATTTCTTCAATCATCAATACGAAAAAATTGATGAAAGAAAAATTAAGTGGTAAGTAATCTGATTATATCGATTTTATGATTTGCATGAATCTAACAATGATAATAGGACGAAATCCATTGGCACGTAGTGCACCACCACTTAAATCATCATCATCATTAGATAGTTCATTTGGTATTGGCCTATTTGGTGAACCAAACAGTAGTTGTGGGGGTGGTGTGGGCGCTATTAGCAGCCAATCAATTCCACCAAGACCTCAATCACCTTATTCATCAAATTCGGATATAACACATTTTCTTGCCTCAACATATGGACGACATCATTTATTGAAAAGTCCGACCAATACCGATATTGCCAAAGTGACTAATAAACAATTTAAATCTGCATCTGAACATAATGCATCAAAATATGAACATCCTCATCATCATGGTAGTAAAATTATGACATCGGCCAATTTTGCTAATGAAATTAAAAATATTCAACAAAAAATTCTTGAAGAATTGAAAACAGGCGAATTAGCTAATTCATCAAATTTTATGAATAACAAAAGATCTAATCAAACTAAACTCAATACTTTAACTGGTATTGGAACTGATTATCAAAGTTATCGAAGTCTATTAGACAATAGTTTATTGGATAATAGTCCTACCGCAGGTTATAATCGTAATTATCAATCAAGAAATTCATACAACTTGCGTAATACATTGAATATGACAAACAGATATAATCGTAATCATTATCCAGGTGTAGGTGTAAAGAATAATATTTTTAAATCATATGAATATGAATCATTGAATCCGGTCCGTTATGGTGAAGATAAATATCGTCTCACACGTCCAATGTCATCGATTTTGTTTTATGAAAATTCTGCTTCAACGAATGCAGCCAGAGATACATTGTTACATGGAAATCAACAACGTTCATTCCAGAATCTATCACCACTACGGTATTCTCATTTGGTAAGATTTCGTTTCGAATTCTAATTTAATCTAGTAGTTTGATTTTTTTTTTGTTTTTTTTTTGTTTAGTCAAAACGTCATTCTAAATATGATCGATTAAATTCATTGTATCGTAAATATGATTTGGCTACGGCTAATCATTCATCATTCACTGATATGAATCGTTATGGCCAAAATCGTGATCTTCTATACGGAACCAATGATGTTATTAATAATCGAGATCTGAAAAATTATACCTCACGTTCATGGCATCCATCACCATATGTTTCAGATGTATCAGATGATGAAGATTTTGATCAGGATCTTAGTGTGGAAGAAAAAACAGCCAAAGTTCGTGCCGAAATCAAACGTCGTCGACAACGATTAGCAGATTCTGATCGTCTATATAGACATTATTCATTTGATGATTACAATTGTCTTAATAGTGATCGTTCATTATTAGATGATCCACTTGATTCATCATTTAACTATCTGATTTCACAATCATCCGATCATTCTCATCATCATCAACCTTTCACTTATGATAAATATGATGGTTTAAATGATTATTCATTGCTTGAATCCAAAGAAAAATATTACAGTGATGAGTATGTTTTTGCTTCAAAAAAAACGTATTTCCTTTTAATGAATTATAATGAAAAAAATTTTTCCGATTTCAATTGTTAGTCTTAATGCATATTCACAAAATAATCAAAAGGCTGGTTTATATTATAGTTCCTATCCTGATTATTCATTATCATCTGCATCAAGACATCATCAACAAAATCGAATGTATGATTCTCGTTTATCCAATACCGGATATGGTTATGGTCCACATGGTGATGGTAATAGAAACTGTATTGTTAGGATTTAATCTATTTGTTAATTATTACATTTAAATACATACATTCTACATGAATAGATTTAAATTATCATCATCAGATGAGTCCATATGGAGCATCATCGATGCCTTTGTTAACTGAACAACAACAGCAACAACAACAACAACAACAACAGGTAAATTATCGTACAAGAAAAACAATGGATGATTTTGGTATCAACAACAATGGTAAGTTTCTATGAATTTTATAAACAAAACAAAACAAAAAAAAAATCATTGATTTTAAATCAAATTTAAATAGGCTATCGAAATAATACTGGATATGATGATTCGTTTAATTATATGCGAAGTTCGCCCAAAAAAACTCAAGTATTCCGGTGATATTCATTAATTCAAATGGGCAAAATCGATTAATATTATCGTTTCTGTGATCTCTATCTTGTTTATCTATTGATATATATGTTAAAAAATTAGTTCGCGCCAAATTCCACACGTAATCCAAAATATCCGTTTCCGATCAAACGAATACTATTAACACAGGATCCAAAAATACGTTCAATGGATGGTAAGTAAAAATTTTTTTTCTAAATTTTATTAAATTAATTAATCATCCCAAATGGTGTGTGCGTGTTTGTTAGTGTGTATAAGTTTTGAAAATAATGATAATTATTTTTCCAATAACTTTTTTTATGCTTGTTTTATTTTAATTTTTTTTTTGTTTTATTAAAATTTTCTTCTTAATTATCGATACATTTTTATTTTGTTTTTAGATTTTATCACTAGATTTTTTTAAATTTTTTTTAAATTCTTTAGTTTAGCTTTACTTTATTTTAGCTATTATTTTGTCTATTGATATATAATTTCATTCGAACAATATCAATACAAAATTTTTGGTTGTTTTTTTGTTTTGTTTGAAAACTAATTTAGAATGATGCTTATTGTTTCATAATAAATAGAATTTTCATAAATTATTATTTCAATATGTCTGTTTGTTTGTCTGTTTGTCTGTCTGTCTGTTGATCATCCAATCCTTTCACAGTTTCACAATGATTAGAAAGAAAATTTAAACCATAAAAAACCAAAAACAGAATTTACAATACCAAAAACAAAACAAATAGAATCTCGAACAAATTCAAACAAACTTATTTGATTCTCATGATTCGTTCTCTTCTCTCCACCAAATTAAAAAAAAAATCAACCTATCAACATACAATCAACTGAATAAAAAACAAATCATCGACTTGGATCAAATTTTTTTTTTGATTTTGTGTTTATTTTTTCATTGTTTGTGCGAAAAAAAAAACAAAAATCGAATCTGTGATCAAAATCAATAAACTAAAAACAACATCAACAAACATTAAATTAGGGGATGGTCTAGGATTGAAAGTGATTGGTGGAAAGGATATACCTGGTACAAATATGATTGGAGCTTATATTGCAAGAATACATTCAAATCTATCAATGAATGGAGAGATACGTGAAGGTAAGTCTTATGAATTTGATTATAATTATATTGAAAATTTATTACATTAAAAACGAAGGAATGCAAGTGATCGAATGGAATGGAATACCATTGACTGGAATTTCACATGACGAAGTATCACGTATTATTGCCAATCAAATTGGTGATGAAATCGAGGTCGTCATTCGTACTGATATTAATTTATTACAAAATCAATATGGCCATTATAATAACAACAATATGGCCCCAGGTCCAAATCCTGGTTATTATGGATCACAGGGTTATGGTTATGGACCACCACCACCACCTGATAGTGGTTATGGTCCGCCACCTGGTCCACAACCACCTTCACAACCTTTATGTTATTCAAACACCGGTTATGGTCAGCCGCCATCGATTAATATTCATCAAAATATGAAACCACCACCTTCATCAACACAACCACAAGTGATTCTTCAACACAATCATCCAGTGGATGAAAACTATCAAATGGTCTATGATCAATATGGAAATCGTGTTCCAGCTCCATTATCTTCTTCTGTGCTTCCGATTTCTACTGGACAACCGTTACCACATCATCATTCAAATATGATGGCTGGTGGACCAATGCCAGGATTACTACATCAACAACAACAACAACAACATCCGCTACCACCACAAATGCCACCATCACAAGGAACAATGATGCCACCGCAATTATCAATGCATCATCAAGCGCCACCACCATGTCCATATTGATTGAAATCATTGTCATTGATAAATTAAACCATCAAGCCATTTATGCTTTATAGCATCCTAAAACAATAATCCATCGAAAAAAAAACTTTAGATTTTAATGTCAAGTGCTTTATACCTTTCATATATACTATAGTCATTTTGAATTTTCATAGATCATTCATTATCTGTTTGATTCAGAATATTTTTCCTTTTGAAAATCAACAATATATTTTGAAACGAAAAGAACAAACACAAATACGCAATTCAATTCTAAATTATTATTATCATCATCATCATTGTTGTTGTTGAAATGTTGTTGTCATAAATTTTGATTTTAAAAAATCAATTCTTCATTGAAAAAAGTATCATGTACTATTTTTTTAGTCACACAAATAAAAAAAATTATATCTAGTCATCAAAAAACCAAATATATTTGATAAAAAATATAGCCAGGTGTTATTATTATTATCGTTATTCTCATACCAAACACCCACACATCATGAAAACAACAGGGGAAAAACCAAAATTTCATATCCGGATTTTTCTCTTTAACACGTCACTATACATACATATTTATTATTCATTAATTTATTTCTGTTGTGTTCTTTTTGTCTCTTTGAATTTTTTGTTTTTGTTTTTGTTCTTTCTCCTGAATTTTTTTTGAATTTGTTAATTTAATTCCAGTGATTGATTAATTTTTGTTGTTTCTATTATCATCATCATCATCATTTCATCATTGTTCATTATTGTGGTTATACTGATTTTTTTCTCGCTCTCTCAATAATGATGATGATGATGATAATTCATTGATTCCATGATTCCATTGTGGCTTGATCTATTTTTTAATCATTTTGTTTGTTTTATTCTGTGAAAAATTTTCATGTTTGTTTGTTTTTTTTGTTTTGTTTCAACCTTTATTCATTACACTTTCTTCGCGTTATCTTTATTATAAAAATTGATAAATTATTATTATTTTCCCCCAAGAAAAACTATATATTTACATAATAATTTTCAAGGGAAACAAAAAAAAATAACATTTAAAAATGAATATATTATCATCAACATCATAATATGAATCATGTTATTATTATCATCATCGAATACAAATTTACAAACAGCATTCATCATTCTATCAGCTATTTATTTATTTATTTATTTTCCTTTTAAGTTATCGATTATATCGTTTCAATGTTATATTAATTATTTTCCTATAAATATATGAATATGTTGAAAACAAAACTCATTATAATTAAAAAAAAATATATATTATGAAACAAAAATGTTTTTATTATTCTTTTTTTTTGTTTGTTTGTTTGTCGGATAAATATTTATGGACAATTTATCAACATGTTAATGTCGTTGTTCGTTGTAAGCAATAGAAAAAAAGTAAACAACTTGTTGGATTTTATCATTTCAATCCAAAATTATATAATTACAAACACACACGCAAACATTCGATAAAAGAAAGAATACATGCTCAACTGGTTATTTTGGTCAACCATAGTGGCGCTGTATGTATGGCCGTCGTAATATCTAAAAATTGTTATCGGTGGTTGTTCAGGTTATATACAGCCGTTGTGTTAACAATGGTGGTGTATTCCCATGCATACACACACACACAAACACATAATTCCATTCCGAATGGTATGTCAGCCATGGCCAAAAAAAAAAAATTGTTAACGTAATAATGTTGCCAATCTTGAGCCAAAGAATGTGTTTACCTTTCTTTTGTTGTTTGTAAGTGTTTTGTTTGTGTATGTCTTTCTCTCTTGTGTATACCGTTTGTCAAATCGCGTATATACCGGCTTACAATGATAGATCTTTTCGGCCATGATAATATGTGTAAAATAGTGTTTTAGTTGAAAATATCCATTTTGACATTTCAAACAAAAATGATAATCTAATTCGATCAACTATAGATATATTTTCTAAAATGACGGTCAAATTAGATAAATTATTGTAAGTTTATCCTGTTTGATATGATTTAAGTTTATTTATTCATTGATAATAATCGTTTCTAGATATTTTCGTTTGGTCCGTACTTGTCCGGTGATCGGTATTGTTACAATTTTAACAATTTGTTTTAGCCTATTCGCTTTCATTGTATATCGAGATGCATTACCAATGTTTGATGATCCGACCATTGGTTTTGAAGCTCGAAATACTGATCTATCCAATCGTATTAATACATGGCGATTATTGATCGAAAGTACATCATGGAATGGTGCACTTAGTCTATATCCAAAATCATTTATTTCCAACAATGTCAGTAATGATTTAGTAGAAGAATCAATAAACATTCGACGAACAAATGTTACCGGAAGAATTAAATCTAAGAAACAGAATCGCGATAAAATAAAGCGAAAAAATAAGGCAAAAAAAAGTAATCAACCATATGCGAATCCGTTTGAATCAAAAAATCATTATTCAAGTTCATTTTTCTGTGGGAAAATTGTCGGCGATTATGTTCAAATTGTCGTCGAAACTAATGACGGTACTAATTTATTGGATTTAAAATCAATTAAAAATCTCTGCCTACTTGACCAACGTATGTTACGTATGGAAAATGATAAAGAACAAAAATTTTCGCTCAACAATTCTACGATATTTAATGAATATTGTGAATCAAAAAACTTTGATAAATGTTGTCCAAGTTGGTCGATAGCCAATTTTATATTGATTTTTGTCAACAAAACTAATTGTGATGACCTTATCGATGAAGATTTGGAAAAATTTGTCAAACATTTAGATGTTTGTTCAGCATTCTATGCTGGACATTACCTAAATGAAGATTGTTCAATTGAAGAACCTTGTCCAAATACACCACCCGAATGTTTTCAACATGAAAATCTTGTGTTCAATGTATTTCATTATCTTGTAGATTATCGTTTCATGAATATGGACCGTAAGATTCTAAATCCTAATCAATTGATTGAAACATCAAACAATGATTCCGCCACTACATTTCCATTATTGAGATCAACAAGTATTATATTGCCTATTGCAAAAAGCAGTAAATTAATGGCCTATTATGAAAACATAACGAAAAGTTTAAAGACATTTTCTCATTCATTGATGAAAAATAATGATCCATTTTCGGCATTGAATCTAATTCAATTGTTTCGGCCATCATCTTCATCAGCATCAAATGATTTATCATTCGGTAATGTTGCTGTAGTTGCTGCTGATATGGGATTGAAATATACATTATTCAATAAATCACTTATTTCGGATTTATTGTTACCTTCGTTAGCTGGCCTAATCATCATGATTTCATTATTAATATTTACTCGATCGACATTATTAACTGTGATGACTTTGCTCACTAATTTAGCATCACTTTCAACTGCTTATTTCATCTATACATTTGTGTTTAATATCAATTTTTTTCCATTTCTAAATTTATTATCATTGATCATTCTTGTCGGTAAGCGTTATAATATGGATTTTGGATTTGATGTTTATCAGATTTTTTTCATACCTTTTTTTTATAATATAGCTATTGGATCAGATAATGCTTTGATCTATTGTAAAACATGGTCTTGTGCATCGCATCATCGAAGTAGTCGTGGTGGTACAAATTCGTTAATAACTCGCCGTCTTACACCAAATTACGAAACCGAACTAAGCCAAATATTAAATCATGTATTAATGTCATCGTTTTGTGCAAGTTTCACAACATGCGGTGCTTTTTTTGCCGGATATTTTTCCGATATTACTTCATTAAAATGTTTCAGGTTTGATCAATTTTTATTTTATTTCTTACTATTCTTTACTATATTTTATTCATTTTGTTTTGTAGTATTTTCTCTGGATTAGCGATAATTACGAATTTTTTCATCACAGCTATTGTTTTTCCATCGGCTATTGTTATTTCCGATCGTATCATTGAAATTCAACAAATATTTATCGACAAATATTGTTCATTTAAATTGATCGAAAAATTTCATTGGCCTGATTGTTTAAAATTTATATTTGATAAAATTATCTTGAAACTTATCTTCAATTATTATTATCTATTGACATTCATACTCACTTTGATCTCAATCTTATCGGCTGTTGTCGTAATTTATGAACCAGGATTACAACTTCCCACCAGTCAAGAATTTCAAATTTTCTATTCTAATCATCTATTTGAACGTTATGATTTTGAATATCGTAACATGTTCTGGTTTTCTCGTATTGATACCAAAGTTAAAACTGCCGATTTTGTTTCATCTGAATATTCTGATAATCAAAAACAACAAACAGGTTTGACACAATCTAATTTTGTCTTACCTATACGAGTTGTATTTGGCATTCTACCCGAAGATAATGGAAATTTTTTAGATCCTTTTGATCGAGGTAAATTAATATTCGATGAAAATTTTAACATTTCTTCGCAACGTTCACAAGTTTGGTTATTGGAATTTTGTCGCGAATTACGTTCACAACCATTTTACAAACCAACACTTGGTCCATTATTAACCAATTGTTTTATCGAAACATTACAATCTTGGATGTTGAAACGAAAATGTTCGGAAATTGTTGGCAACGATATTATAGATCATTTTCCATGCTGTGAAATGACAAAATTTCCTTATGAACCATATGTATTCAATTATTGTTCAGCTGAATTAATTGATCGTTTACATCGTACACCAAATTTTATATTTAATACACATCAAGCTGGACCACGTTTTGATGTCAAAACTGGTTCATTCAAAGCATTAGTCATTGAATATGATTCTATATTTGATGGATTCTCAACCTCATTCGAAACGATTGATCATGTATGGAAAGAATTGAATACCTGGGTAGAGGAACGATTAGATATGGCACCCGAAGAGCTTAAAAGCGGTTGGTTTATCACAAATAATATGGAATTCTATGCTCTGCAACATTCATTATCAACCGGTGTGATCAAATCATTATTTATATCCGTATTATTTGCATTCATTACATTAGTATTTACCACAATGCATTTACGTCTCAGTATTGTTTCAATCATAACAATTACTTTCATCATATTTTCATCGATAGCAACTTTAGTTTTACTTGGATGGAAATTGAATATAATCGAAAGTATAGTCATTTCTTTAACGATCGGTCTTTCCATCGATGCTACCCTTCACTATACGATTGCCTACAAAATGCTTACCAAATTTCAGGTATCAAATCTTATTCATATTGATGAAAAAAAATCATTCAAATTTAAATTTGTTATAGGATAATCGATTACTTGGAATTCAGATGACCGTTGCAAGGATTGGTAGCCCTGTTGCTATGGGATCGATCACAACATTTATAGCTGGAGCAATCATGCTTTTATCAAACGTTTTAGCTTATATACAAATTGGTACATTTTTGATGGTCATATCATTTTTTAGTTTTATATTTTCTACATTATTTCATATGGTTAGTAATTTTGTTTTAAATACCATATCATCAATTAAATATCTTTTAATTTTCTCTCTTCCATAGAGTTTACTTATCATATTTGGTTGTACGAAATCTGTAACCGGATCGAATTGTTTATCATTTGATTCATTTCGAAAATGGATCCGTAAACAAAAAGTTTCATCAAATACTAATCAGATATCATTGGTATCAAAAAATTTTAAACAATCATCAACAACAAACAATTATGATCATGTTAATAACAATAATAATAGTAACAGTATAAATAATTTATATGTTACTGAATTATCTTCAACAACCACTTTACCACGTTCAAGTATAAACAGTGTTTGTTTACGTGTAACATCAATTTGATTCTTTTTTCACACCATCCCTCCCCCCATTTATTTTAAATTTTATCCGAAAAAAATGAAAATAAAAAAATATGAATTTTAAAAAAATGTTGATGTTGTTGATAAAATATATTTGGTCACATTGAAATTTCGGATGATCCGATTTCAATGAAAATCATTCCAACAACAACAAAAAAAAATGAAAAAAAAACTTTAAAAATATAGCAAAAAAATTATATTAATTTGGTCTTGTTTTCAATGTTGGATTACTGTCAAATAATTTGGCTGCTATCAAAAACATCAATAAACCAAATAAAATGAGAAAAAATTTCAAAATTCGATCAATCATTTCATCTTGCCAACGTTTATCCTGTATACAACGATGATATGGTGTACGTGAAAATGTGACCATCGAATACAAAGGTGTCCAAATTGTTGGAAATAAACGATGCATCATATTATCAAATGTTTTACGTATAATAAACGATCGTTTGTTAACTAAATCACGCATTTCAACATAATTGTACATGGCTAAATCAATAATAGCATGACAATTATCAACACGTTTTTCAGTAAAAATATCCAACACTGAATCTAGTTTATCATTTCCATGTTTATCAAGCAGTTCATCAAGTACAATACAATCTTCAAAGCCGCAATTCATTCCTTGTCCATAAAATGGCACCATTGCATGTGCAGCGTCACCCATTAGTAAAACTTTGTCTTCATAATTATATGGTTTGCATTTTATCGAAATTAATGGCGATGGTTTTGTGCTGAAAAATGTTTGAATCAAACCATCTCTAATGAATAAACGAAAAGAAAGAAAAAAAACCAAATAAACAATTATTATTACAGATAATGGTTGAAATCCTGTTTACGGTTGCTTACTTGGTCAGCAATGGAATCGAATCGGGAAAATATTTCTGAAAAAAATTCAATAATTTTGTTTGATCGGTGAGCTCTTCAAATATTTTGAATTGCATAAACAATGTTACGGTGAATGATCGATCAAGATTTGGTAAGGCGATCATCATAAAATCGCCTCGAGGCCAAATGTGCAGATGATTTGGTTCCATTGCATAGTCACCTGATTTAGTGGGAGGTATACACAATTCGAGGTAACCATGTTCAATATATTTTTGGCTATAATCCAACAATAACAACTTAATCATATGACGTCTGACAGCCGAATAGGCACCATCACACCCCAATATAATGTCCGAATAGCTTTCTACCTGTTTTGGATGATGAGGTGATTGTTGTTTTTCATGTTTGTCATTGAAAATGTTATCGTCAATATTAATATCATTGTCAATCATTGCTTGAAATGTAAGATGTCCTTGTTTGAGATTAGCTTGTAATAATTTATGATCAAAATGTATATGAACATTTTCATATTTTTCCGCTTTGCTTAATAATAATTCATTTAAAAATCTTCGACTAACCGATAATATATATTGATCGGGTCTTGTACCATATGGTATTATACGTTTACGGCCATTTAGATCGTGTATCATACGTGAATACATTTTTATTGAATATTTTTCAATAATTTCTTTCTCTAAACCTAATGAACGTAATGCACTTCTTCCTCGTTCCGATAGAGCCAGATTTATTGATTTTCCAACAACATGTTCAGATTTACGTGGATCATTACGCATTTCATAAAGATCCACCTGATCATTTAATTAAGAAAATAAAAATAAAAATAAAATGTTGACAAAAATTTGTGCGAAAAAAAAACGAATAACATATGACACAACAACTTACCTGATAACCGCGTTTTGCTAAAAAACATGAAATCATTGATCCAACCTTAATTTATTTATTGTTTAATGAATAATTATTTTGTTAATATTGATTTTTTTTAAAATAAATATAATTCAATACATACCAAGCCACCTCCTACAACAGCAACACGTACATGATTTTTATGCCATCCATTTTGATGATGATGATCATGATTTTGATCAACAATTTTTTTACCATTAATTTTTAATTCATAATGATTATTATTATCGTTATTATTATTATTATTATTATTAAGAATATATTCATTTTCTGGAAACATGATGCTAATTCAATAATCAAAATCAACGAATAAAATATTAATTATTATTATTATTTCTTTTAAAAGAAAATGGAAATTATTTATATCAAATATGAAATAAAAGTGTATGAATGAATGAAAAAAAATATATTAATCTGAATTATGTAATCGTATTGATGTGAATTCTAATGAATATTAATATATCATACATTTTAATTGAAACTATGTTTTTTTTTCTCTCAGCAATATTAACATAATTCTCTCTTTCTACATTTTCAATTATTGATATATTCTTGTTTTCAATTTGTCAAAAAAAAAATCTATAATTAGAAACTTTTATTGGTTGTTTTTTTTTCATTCTTAGCATTGTATATCATTCATTCATACATACATGCATAATAAATACATTTCCATATTGAAATATATTCAACAACAAAAAAAAACAGTCATTAAATAAACAAAATAATAGTAATTAATAATAAGGATATACCAATAATAATGATTTTTTTTTCAATGATAAAAAATAAGTTTTTTTTAGCAGCTGATTAATCAATTTGTATCGATAATAATGATTATTAAAGTGATATTTTTCAAATGATTTTTGACTTAAAAGTTCAAGAACATTGATTTTAAGGAGAGAAAAAAAAGGTATCTCCTAATTTTTCTCTGTTAAGTTAGTTTGTTTTTTCTCGATGTATTTTTTTTGAATGTTGGATTTTTTTTTTGATAAAGATATGGATTTTTGTTTCTTGGTTAGTCGACAATATCATCATTATCATTATCGATGATGATTGGCGTGATCTGTTTTTTTTTCCACTGTTCAATAAAATTTTGATTCCTTGTTGTTTGTTTGTTTTATTTATTTATTTTTTCATATGATGCACTTGGAGAAAAAACAAAATCATTTCAATTCCTTTGAAAAATGATTGATCATTTTTTTTGCAATTCAGCATCAACAACAACAACAACTACCCATACACATATCAACTGGTCCATTGGTTTGAAATCTTATCAATTAATAAAAATTACAGTATTTTTTTCTCTCTTGTATCGTTGTTGCTATGTGAAAAACAAATGAAGAAAAGAAAGAAAGAATTGATGATTTTTTTTTTATTCAAAATTTCTTTTTTCCCCCACATACAGAATGAATTTATAACAATTTAGATGATAGAATTAAGAAAACACCTGATGTTTCTCCGTAATCATATATGAAAAAAATGGGAATTTTTTTTTGTGAAAAATTTAAATTATTCAATATGATAATCATCATGGTAATAAACTAAAGTAATAAAGTTTTTAAAATAAATGATCAAATGTATAAGATAAAATTCCTGAGGTAAGCCCTAAAATCTAGCTAAATAACATAAGTGATTCAGAAGGATTTAATTTTAAGATTTTTGAATTACAAAAAAAAAAATCAAACTTACCCAAATATAGTCGAAAATTATATAATAAAAATATGAATATTGATCACACACAGACACACACGCACAGATTGATTTAAATTAGATTTGTTGTTATTGTTGTTTTGTTTTGTTTTGTTAAAAAAAATTCCGGATACAAATGAAAAAATTAGAGACAAAACAAAACCGAAAGAAAAAAAAATTTTAAATCAAATTATCAATTAATATGATTATTATGATCGATCAAGTTATTGATTGTTATTACCATCAGAATGGAAAAAAATAATGATGTTTATAACATTTGAAATGATGTCTTTTTATATATTTCATTACATTTGTCCACAATAATATAACATTCAATATATTGAATAATCTTGTCCTGGACGATGGTGATGACAACCTACTAACTTAACCACAACCTACCATCCATTATTATTATTATCGTTGAATGATTGCCTTTAAACGATACATACCCACACTTAAAGAAAGAAAGAGAGAGAGAGAGAGAGAGAGAAACATAAACACTGAAGTGATATACAGTTAGAATGTATTGATCAAAGTTGGAAAAAAAATTATTTGTATTTGTGTGGATCATGAATATCATGAGATTTTCTTAAGACATACACACACACACTGACATTTGGAAAGTTAGTAGATTCATTTAAGAAAAAAATTACATATCCTATACATTGTTACGAGAACTTTGTTTTTATTATTTAGATTAGTTATTATTTTTTCTTGTTAGAAAAAAAAATCTTTATTGGTCAAACCAATTCATGACTTATGTCTTTCTGTTGAAATTTGATGGATCAATTGTTCAAAATTTGAACTTGAAAAAAAAATTGAAACTGTAAAATTGTCATCCATATTGAATTTGACTTATAATACAAATGGCATTGGAATGACATTTAAAAAATAAAAATATATCCATTTTTATTTTTTAAATAAGACAGAGGAAAAAAATGGATTTTGGACCCATATCTTTCAAAATTCATATCCGTTTATATGATGATGATGATGATGATGATTTTCACGTGGACATCAAATATATATTGAATGATGATATGAAGGACAAATATAAATATGAAAAAAAAAGAGAACGAGAAATCCCATTATTAATTATCAATTGTTGATGGAATGTACACTGTGAAAGAGAAAGAGAGAGAGAGAGAGAGAAACTGATCAAATGAATAATGACAACGACAACAACAACAACAATAAAAGAAAAATATGGCGTGAATGAATCAAATTGATTTGATTTGGGCAAACATATGAAATCTGAGACAACAAAAATTCGAATATCCTCATAAATTGATTGATGATCAATATCAAAATTAATTGATCAATTTGATCAATATAATCGTATCGATTATTATGAATGGCCAATATTATTCATCATGTGTTTGATTTTTGTTGTTGTTGTTGTTATTGGAAATCTTACAATGGTCATTTCCGTTTAGTTGAAAATACTTTTCAGTATTTCTTGTTATTTAAGATATAGTTGTAAAGTTTTTTTTCATGTTCAAATCGATTGATTTATTGATGATTGATCGTAAATAAATTTTTGTTTTCTTCTTACGACAACAACAACAACAACAACAACAGATTTGACCAAGAAAACGTGATATACTAATCATAGATCAATGTACAAAAACAGAAAAAAAACAAAAATGGCGAAAAAAAAATCTATTACGACTACCTAAGTCCCTTTATAATTTTAATCAATATCACCAAATCAAACATAATCATCAACCAATGTGAAATTTTATTTTTTTTTTTTGATTTCATAATTTTAATCGATCAAATATTATTTTATCGATCGAAAGATTAATTT